GGCTGCTTTATGTTTGTTCGTTTGAATTTCCAAGAGGAGACATAACAGATTTGTACATAGAGTTGTTTTCCAAGTCAGAAGAAACTTCCCTGGTAAAGGGGAAGCTCTGGAAATTAACCCTTTTGTTCCCCCAGATGGCTGGATGCTCTTGAAGAGCTTCTTGAAGAAGTAATTGGGTGAACCTCTGGCTAGGGGTGAGGCAACCAAGATAATTTTTGCTATGGAAGAACCAGCCACCTGCCCAGGCTCTAAGCTGTGCTTTTATTCTCTGCTTTTTGCGGCACAGCTGAATGCCACTGGTCAGCAGGAGAAGGTGAATGCTTGCTGGAACCAGTAATTTGTAAATAGCGTGCATGCAAAGCACACACTCACCAAACTGGTTGTTATGCCGGTAGGATCCCACCACCTCTGGTGCCATCATCTCTTAGAACACTAGCTTTATGCATATTTATCTTTTGCTATAAAAGAGGCTCCATTTGGCTACAGCCTGATTTTCCTTTTCATTGAAATATCATCATTTCCAAAGCTTTGTGAGTATAAGATGGCAAGGAGGGGAGGAGTTGTTGTAACTAAGCCAAAATAAAGAAGCCGGAAATAATTGTGGAAACTATTTTTGATTCCTGTGAGGAGGGAGAGAAACAGTTCCGATTTTTTTTTATAATGAATTTTATTAAGTTTCCAAATTTAAAAACATAAAACTTTTTTACTTGTATGTTTGGTTCAGCTGTTTGCTAAACAATGAGGCACGTACTTTGAAGTTTTCTTTGCAGCTTATTCTTGGATGCAGAGAAAGCCTTCCACAATTTAAATTGGGCTTTTATGTTTAAGGTTTTGGAAGTTATGGACTTAGAGGAGAATTTTATCCAACTGCTTTATAAAGCAGTTTATACATCACAGCAAGCAAAGATAAATATTAATGGGGACTTAATCAACCCCTGTAAAATTCAAAAGGATACACAACAAGGATGCCCCCTATCTCCCTTATTGTTTATACTGGTGTTGGAAGTTTTGAATAGAGATATTAGACAAGATGAGAAAATAACATGTATAAATATTAAAAAGGAAGTTAATAAACTGAGGGCATTTGCTGATGACTTGGTTATATTTTTGCAAGACCCAAAATATCATATAGAATATTTGATGAGGAAATTACATGAGTTTTGGGTTTTAGCAGGTTTTAAAATAAACAGAAAACAACAATGCTTATTAAGAATATGACCTGTCAGGATGGTGACATATTGACTAAAATGTCTGGCTTTAAGGTTGAGAAAAAGATGAAATATCTGGGGGTTCTCTTTCAGACGTTACCAGTCCTTGCAACTGATACTCCATTTAAACGATGGTAGATGGATATCTCCAAGTTTATATGGCAAGGCAAAAAAAACAAGAATTAGATACAAATTACTGAAAGATGCTAAGGAAACAGGATGTTTGGATTTACCAGGCTTGAAATTGTATTTTGATGCTTGTACTTTGGGCTGGCTAAAAGAGTGGGTTAATCTCCAGAATAAGGTTACTTGATTTAGAGGGCCAATGTTAGGAATCTAAGTCACCTAACAGTTGGGTTGGAAAATATATAAACCAAGATAGACATTTTAATACTGTCTCTTTAAGGGAATGATAAAATTGTAATTGGGTGTGGTTCCTCAAATGGCTATAAGATGGAGCCAGAAACCTGGGTTGTTCTGTTGTTGCTGAGAGTGTTGCCATTCCTGCATTTCCCTATTCACTGTTGCTGATCATCATTATTCCTGGATTTGATGTGAGTCTTTTACTGAACTGTTTATGATACTGGATTTTGTTATTGGATAATCCCTGGACTGAAAACTGACTGCTTTAACAGTGAATGACTTGGACTGTTTGTTGGACTTTGCTTAAACGTTTATTGGAAATAAAAACCTACATTTTACAATACAGAGTATCTGTGTGCTGGTTGTGTGTTATTCCTCACCACTCTCACTACGTCTCCCTGTGTGCGCTCATTCTCCTAACAGGGAATTACCTCAACACTGGTTATGGGACCAGGCCATACCAGGCTCAGATAACTGAGAGTTGGTGTAAATGCACAGTACTGTATACAGACAGCTGTTTACTGTTTAATTGTGGTTTACTATCCTGGTAAAGATGGCACAAGACCCTTCAACAAGTCTATCACTGATAACCTGGTTGGATGGAACAAACTATATTTCCTGGTCTATGAAGTGCAGTCTACTTCTGCGTAGAGAAGGGTTATGGAATGCAGTTCAAAATCCACTGGATGTAAATGCTTGGGATCCAGATGATGAGGACGATGCCAAAAAGTTAGCTGATTTTAAACACAACAACGAACGAGCTCTTTGTATAATTGGACTAACACTCAGTGTCCAGCAGCTAGTCCATATTCGTGGAGAAGAGTCTGCTGCTAGGTGTTGGGAGAATTTGAAGAGGATTTATGTTCGTGACAGTGTAGGTGCACACATACATCTTACACATAAACTGTTTAAAGCACGTCTTCTGAAAGGTGGAGATATGTTAGCTCATTTGAACTTCATGAAAAGAACTTTTCAAGAGCTACATGAAAAGGAACTGATATTTTCAGAGCTGCATCAAGTTTACATCATTCTTTCCTCATTGGATGAAAGTTATGATGATTACGTATCTTCACTGGAAGTCCTGCCCAGAGATAAACTGACATAACCGGAAGATTGTTAGAAGAAGCAAGAAGACGGCTGGATAGGGACCAACTGAGGAAGGAACAACCACAAGAAGAGGATTTGTCTTCAACTGTCTATACTGTTAGGAAATGTTTTTCTTGTGGGGCTAGGGGACATATAGCTAGATTCTATAAGAAAGGAAAAAGACAGAATGCTAGTAATCACCAGAAGGCTAAGAAGAATGTTAGTTTAGCTATGCCTAGCAATTCAACTGTAAACCATGATTTGTGGGTTATTGATAGTGGAGCATCGCAGTGCATTACTAAAGATAGAGGTTTATAAAGATGTCTACGAGTAAGCAACATGTATCATTGGCCAATGGATGGAAGATGAAAGCGTCTGGTCAAGGTGCTGCATATTCTTGTGTAAACAAGCATTTAACTATGTTATATGTACCTAAACTGAAATTTAATTTGTTATCAGTAAGGGCTTTAGTTAATATTGGTTATGTAGTAAACTTTAGGAGAGATAACTGTATAATAGAGAAAGAGGGTAAAAGTGTTACTGCTACTTTAGAGAATGATTTATATGTGATACACGATGACCAGTTGAAGATGGCTAACTCAGTTTATAACAATGTTGAGCCACATGATGAATGTATACATTTACTGCATAGACGTCTGGGGCACATTCATTTCAAAATGTTGAAACAAACTGTTGAATTGTCAGAGGGAGTAAAATTAAAACCCTGTAGCAAGTATTTAAACTGTAATGCCTGTAGTCAGGAGAAAACCAAGGTTACACCAGCAAACAGACTGAATGGTTTTAAGACCAAAGAACCCTTAGAATCTAAACATATATGGGGATGATATGTCTCTAATGTGAGATTATTTAATAACTCACCGAAAAAGAGTAAAAACAAAATTAAAATTGTTGCAGATCGAGCTCTTCTCACTGACTACTGTTCAACCATACTAACTTGGTTCCTTGGGTAGGGGGGATGCACATTTTGTCAACATCAATTATCAGCATCTATGTGAACATATCGATTTATGGACAGGAATCTCCATCTGTCTTAATTGTATTGTGAAAACTTCCTGTGAAGCTATGCTTTGCTGTAAATTTGAATACAGAACAAAAATATGGCTAAAAGTACTTTGGATTATGGGGTCCTTGGTGCTCTGTGAGCTTGGTTGTTTTCTTGAAGATGTTTCATCACCAGACTAGTGCCTTTTGTAAAGATTTAACACACTTTAATTATTAGTTGGAGGGTTTTTATATCATTTTGTATATCTTATTTAAAATATTCTCTACTGATATATCTGGCTTTAAAACATCAGAATCAAATTAACAATATATTTAATACAGATAGATTAATTAGATAATGCTAATTTGTGGGAAGGGAGACTTTGGAATCACAGTCTGAGTCTACGGTTTGGAAGGCTCTCCTGTGTTGTCTCTGTAAGGATGGCATAAGAATAGTTAACCTTCCCAAGGTGCAGGGGCCATTTGTGGCATTTGCAGGAAGGTATGAGTAGGCTTTTAAGCCACAAAGGAAAAACCATCCTGGTGGGAGCTTCAGGTAACTATATGAAAATGATATGGTCTCTGTATAGTTGCATTTTAGTTCTGTGTTGCTAAGACTGGTGCATTCTGTGACCCTAGGTGTGCTGCACCCAGTGACATTATGATTTCCCTCCTGCTAAGCAAAAGTTCTCTTGCTAAACAT